GTTTGATGTCTCTGCTTTTAATTGAAGCAGGAGGACTGTGCAGGGCTCAGTTAATGACCCAAGCCAAAAGAGTTTGGAGATACTCTTCAGGAAATCATCTAATTCTTAGACTTGCCCATCATCCATTCATAAACTCACACTGAAGACCTAAAATCTGTTAAACCTCAACAACTTCCTTATAAAAATTCTTTCCCATAATTGATAAGGGACTCCTAGAACTCACTTATAAGCTGATAATTTTTTTTGTCTCATTCCAATTTAAACAGTACTACCGTCACTAGCTACACTTGTCCTTGGCCTTGTCACAGCTTAGTCCATAAAAGGCAGTCAGACCTACCTGTTTAGAGTGAAATTTATGTTTACTTCCACTTTGTGAAGATTGCAGTTAGTTTGTTTAAGAAGAGGAAGGTGATGTAGCTAAGAGCTGACATTACCAAAACTGGAAGAGGTACATGCACATTGCAGAACTCTCAGTGGCCAATCAAGCAGCTCATGCAGTTCTAGCATACTAATATATACTAAGATGTGTCACTTATGTTCTCTTTTAGTAATTCCTTAAAAAGATGCTGCTATCAGGGGTGCAGATTATTTTTGCTTTCCCACTACTGTAAGCAACGCAACTCTGAATAAGGTTTCTTCAGAGACTTCTGCATTCTGGAAACTTGCCAGCTATTACTCATATATAGATGAATTAGTACTGATATATATGCTGCAAAAGAAGGAAAAAAAACCCCCTTAAGTTCAAACATGAAATAAAATAAGCTAAATAAAAGTCCAAGCAGTGGTGTGTCTAAATAGCATGCCAATAAAACTTTATATGAACACAAGCTGGAATTCTGCCACTCCATAAAGTATTAATACGTTTCCTTGGCTTTCTAAAGACATTGAAAAATCATACAGAAAACGTCAGCATCAAAAAGAAATAACACCCTCAATGATGAGCAATTTAGGGCCACATATCTCAAGGGAGGAACCTGGAAGTGAACTTTTCAAGATTCACATGCAAGTTCTTTAGATGTTTAGGGTCTTTTTTATGTGACCATTATCATTCTCGTTAGGATCACTTGTCAATTGAGCATTGTGTGGATTTTTCTTCCAATTATTATTTGCATGACAGTTGTGCCTATTCCCTCCCCATGCAGATATATCATGTTTCTGACCTGGCTGTTCCAGCCCTTCTCACCTGGTCAGCGCTACTGCGAACACTGAGAGCAAAGGTGAATTCCCAACTCCTCTGAGCACTCAAACCACTGACTGCTTGCTTTCCTAAGTGTTCAAATTATCAAATACAAAAACCAGCTTGCTCCATCATCATATGGGAAAGTATATTTAGGGCCTGAAATGAAACCTCCAATCCTGGTCCATCCCATCCGACATTGCCGGTAAAAAGGAGGAGGAAAAAAACACATTTAAATTACCTGAAAATTAGCCATCAGGTTTCACTATTGTCTGATTACATGCTGGGTAGAGAAGTTCTGCAACTTTCATGAGTTTGTTTGCTGCTCAAAACTTCTCCACAAGCGTCTTATACCTAGGTATTTTGGAATATTAATTACCCACTGAGCCCTTCATTCAATAACAATAGATATTGGAGACCCTGATAAGATTGGAGTGAAGGTACAGTTCAACAGATCACAGAGCCAGCAAGTTTAGACTCAGTAGGAAACTAGCGTACAAAAGAGGAAGAAAAATCCAATTAATTATCCTTTGAAAGGTCACTTCTCTTACTCCAGTGAAAAGAGACAACACAAACAAGAGTACACTGTCTCCTTAGCACTAACAAAACATAGTCTTAAAGGACAGATGCAACCCCAAGGCTTGGCAAGGAGCCTAAAAGCACATTTCTTTCCTGATAACAGTCTTGGAGGTATTTTCAGAAGTAATCCTTTCATTTTCAGAGGTTAAATGTCTTCTGTAAAGCACACAAGCTTAGAAGTAGCCAAACGTAAGATAATACCTTCCACCACCACAATTTTCTCGTTATGACTTAAAGAGAGGCATTTAAACATCACTTTAAAACATATATAAAACTCAGGGTTCTGTTTTGGCAAAAGTTGTTGCCACCAAACAATTCTCATCTGAGGAATTCCCACTCCACAACTGTCTGCATAATCAATCACTCTTGTGTTGTTCACAGAACGCAGGGACAGCCAAAACCCAGTCAGTATCTGCTCTGTAAAAGTAAAAGCATTCCTTATCAGCCTCTCCACCCATTGCTGGTTTGTGTCAGTAAACATGGTGGACTTTTACAAAATATTTTAAATGTTTCACTTTTCTTCTCATCTTCCATCCTTGGCTCTATATGTGTGCACAAATACTGTAGTTTTGGGCAAGAAGGTTAAACTTCACTGCACTGTTATCAAAGCTCTCCTGCTTCATGCAGAGGTCTGAAAGAGCATTTTTTCCACATTGAACTGTGCAGTGGTGCTTGATAGCACCTCCTGAGAAATGTTCTGATACCACAGGTTTGGGACTTGACACATTTGATCAAAAGTTTCCCAGGAACAAAAAGTAGCAAAAGGTAGGTGGCCTCTGGTGTCAGCTGGAATAAGTTGTAATGAGTAAGAGGAGTAGGTCTGCTGAGTAAGATTATGTCAGTTTTAGTTTGTAACTTCTCAGAATAAAGTGGTTTATGCAGTGTTCCAGGAATATTACCAAATAACTTCAGTGTATGGGGGTGACTCAGTGTGCTGGTGAAACAGAATAATAGTTCAAAGGAACAAAACCAAGGAAGTCAGAGTTTCATGCAGCTGGAAAACTCAGTCACTTAACACTTGGCAAGTTGTCAAAGTACTAAATGGCAATATATCCTCAAATAAATTAAAATTTCATAGTGTTGTCTCAACAATCTAAGAAAGAAAGTGTGACTAGAATAAAGCAGGTGTTTCAGTTAATTTCTTACAACACACTAGTTCCAAAGCTGTGGTCTATTAGGCAAAAATCCAAGACCCAGATGTAGTCCGACACAGATCAAGTAGTATTAGCATCAGACAAATAAACTCTGCTTTGTAAATACTGACTTTTCTGTAGTTTCCAGAGAAATCAGCTTTTCCAAAATCATATAAAATACACATTGCTCAGGACACTGGGAGTGGTCGAGGCTCTTACTGTGCTTAGTTTCAGCTGCATGATTTCCAGGGCTCACCCCCAGCCTGAAGGAAACACCTCCTATTTCATCCATGCTTGCTGACAGAGGTGAGCTCTGCAATCACCATGTCAGTGTCAGAAAGACTTCTTCTGTACGCACAAACTCTCCAGGTAACTTTATGAGATGCAATCCCTAATAGCCAAGTCTCAGTAGGAAAGCATTAGAAAAGACTTAACCAATGTTAATTGAGGCTGAGTGCAGGCTAGGAATCACATCCATCCATTTTGGATGCCCATTTGTGTTTTTAGGAGCCACGCCAGTCCTTTCTGTGCTCATCCAAAGGCAAAAGTAAATGTCTTAAGTCCTCACAATATACAGCTTTAGGTCATGCCACAGTGGGTCTCCACATCCAAACAAAACCTGTTTGAAATGATGACTAGTTCAGCACCCTCAGCTGCTGTATGGAAGAAAGAGCTCCTGTTAAATGTGGTTACATAAAGCTGCGCAGCAGTGGCCAACCAGCAGTCTGCTTTAGACAGACCTCTTGAAAACAAATGGAAGACATTGGGTTTTCAAGCCACCTCAGTGTCGAGGCAATAGGTTTTAGTAGTGTTTTTCTCTCAACTCTGGAAAAGAATTTCGCCACAAGAGCTAAGACATCTTTGCCAGAAGCAGCTCAGATACCACTGATTTTTATCAGAACTTAAAAGACTAGTCGAATTATCATTTTCTTCTTTCACTGAAAGTTCCTGACAAGTTCTGACAAGGAGAGAATATTAATACACAAAGTGCCTGTATCCAGGGCAACTGAAAGGTTCAGCTGAGCAAAGACTATAATTTCTGATAAGAATGCAAGTATGCAACTAAGACATCCATATTCATTTTGCTTTTACTTCGTGGATTTGTTTACGCCAGAGAAGTAGAGTAACACAGGAAACCAAACTTACTGTACTTGTTCTTATAAGCTTATTAGCAGGAGTAGACACCAAGCAGGGAAGAAAAGGCAAGAAATTTGAAGCTCACCAGCTACATCTTTAACTGTCTCATACCACCAAGTGATATTTGCTATCAGTAAAATGTTCCATTCCTTATCATACGGATCTGCTGAATGGTTTTATGCCAAGTTTCAAATCCTTCGTGTCATTAAGTACCCATAAATGGGAAAAAAGAGCACCATTACCACATGGAATCATCACACTCATTTAGAAAGTAATTAATCCAGCAGCACAGATCAGATTAGATTATAACTGAAATAAATCCATCCTTGTGTTTAAGTGCACAAGTTTAAAGCCAGGCCTATCGAAGTTCAAGGATCCTCAGCTGCAGGTTCAAATGAGATGTAAAGATGGCCTGAGTCATTTCCTCATCATGCACAGCTCACCACTGTGCTGTTCTCTGTCTTCTCTATCAGATAGGGGCCAAAACCCTACTCAAAAGCAACTGACAGCAAGTTATTTACATCAGGAGCAAACTGTGCATTTCCAGGCAGTCCTGTGTGAATTACAATACTTGGAACAGAAAAACCAACAACAAAAGGTGAAATGGGCAACATGTACTTGCCACTGTAATTAGAATAGAGAAATTAAAATACTTGCCTACTGTGCAAATAAAGGATCACGGCAAACAGCATTGCTTCTGGTACCCAGCAGGTGGGTTTTTTTCCTTTTTTCTTTTCTCCTTTTTTGTTTGTTTAAATAAAGCATTCTGTTTATTCATTCTTCCATCTTTCAGTAGACCCATGAATGTCCCCAGTCAGTGAGGCATACTTCCTCCCAGGATACTTGGAAAGAGTACATCACATGTAGAGAACTCCCACTGTCACAAACATTTATTTAGTGGTGTGTTCAAAAGACCATCCATGTGATCTCTCTCAGGTTTTCTGTTTGGCTTTTTTTTTTTGTCTCTCCTGAAGCCTGGACTACAGGAGAAGAGCACTTGCTACCCGGTGAGATGTAACAGGCTTGCCCATACAGAAAACCTGTTATCAGGGAAAGGAGCCAGAAGGTGACGGCAGGCAAACAAAAGGGAAGCTTCTACAATAAGATGTAAAATAGTACAGGAGTGACAATGTAAAAATCACCCCCCATGCTCCACCAACATTGTGACCTCAGGAAAAACTTCTGCTGTGGAAGATTTTGCCACCTTTCCCAGTGCAACAGGTCCCATCAGCACAGCTGCCTCCCTTCAGCTCACGGCCCTGACCCTGCTGACAGACAGCCACCGTACCTTCCCCTTCCCAGAAACACCCCCAGGAGGAACAAGAGTTGGGAAAGGCAGGCCCTTTGCTGCTCTGCCCAACCTACAATGTGTGCAAGACATCAAATCCACAGTAAAATTGAAATAAGGCAAGAGTTGGGTTTGCCCTTCCCCCAGTCAATTGATTTTGGTTAAATTTTAAACCACGTTTTCTTTCTAGGTTCCAAAAAGAAAGACTGGAAAAACATATTTTGGAAGATATATTAGCAAAGGAAGATTTGTTTGAAAAGGTGAGTGATCCCATTCAGAAAAACATAATTAAGAGATAGATAGGTTTGAGCCACCTTGCCCCAGCACATGGTACTAACAGCCACTAATGATCTAAACTCTTCCAGAGTCCTTGCAGATTAAGGATATTTTGGTTTTATGTTGTAAATAAAGAAATCAAAGGCAGATCATGAGACAACCTTTGCACAAAGTCACACACACGAGACAGAATGGGAATATCAAGCCTGATCTCCAACATAACATTAAATGAAAAAATTAGCTTCCCATTAGCCTGGTCCTGACCAGCAAAGCTGTACTGAGTTCAGACCACAGAGATCTGGCCAAATTTAACACACAAAAATCCCACACGCCAAGTACACAAACACATAACTTGCTCCAGCTTACCAACATCACTTTTCTGTCTTCCTATGCCAGAAGTACAAAATAGTTTAGAACAGACTGTTCGAATTTGCTTGTAAACTTATAACTAGAACATTAATTCTCTGTCACTTTTTTGCCCTGTTTTTCTTTTCAGATACTGTCTCCTGCAACATAGTAGCAATATTTCAAAAACCATAATTATGCAAAACCCTAATAAAACAAGAGCCAAATTACCTCAAGGAAGGTTAGCAAGGAGGAGCAATTGATTAAGCCCAGCTAGGTTTCTATGATGTAAAACAAATACATAACCTCCTATTGTATACATTTGCAGTATCAAAAAATATTTATTCTACACCCACTTTCTGTAACTTTTTCCAAGAGAATATTTCAGATGAAAGTAAGGAAACATGCTCCGACATCAGTTTTCTTCAAGAAAAAAAGCATACAGTGGTAATTTCAGCATTTTTGTTGGTGATTTTTCATTACTAAAAGCCCTCACACTTCTAAATAGTACACTCCAGTGACTTTTTTTAACCCTTTAATCTGTAAAAGGATCTTTAAAGTCATCCACAGCCTAATTTTGATGCAAGAAAACATTTCACGTAACCTGCTCTCTTTTCTTTCTCCCTCTCCTTCGTTATGGCTACAAAACAAAAACATTAAACAAGAAAGAAATAAAACACTAGAGTTTCTAAAGAACATATAACAGGGTTTGCACAAATTTTCAGGCAGTACCCTTTTTGTATAAATGTGACTTATTTCAGTGGAAAACCTGACTAACTTGTTGTGATGCACAAATTTGAAGACAATCAAACCCGGAAAGCAGAGATGCAAATATAAGAAGCAGGTATAGTAATGGAATTCTTCACAAAGGCAGATGCTCCTATAACTAGATTAGGTAAAGTATTTACAGAAATAACAGATCACACAACAAAATAACACTAAATTCATCACAAGGAAATGAGAAAGTTATTAGTAGCAAACCCATCCCTAATTCAATCTAAAATACACGTTGCATTTTATGTTAGATCTCACTGCACATAGACTATGATGCAATTAAAATGCTACACTCTTAAATGAGATACTTTCAGGTTCTGCTTTGGAGTTCAAGAGCAAATTAAATTATAAAAGTGGAGTGCCAACTTCTTTCCGTATTTTTTTGTTATTACTATTTCTGACAGGGTCATGTACCTGTCCAGGTAAACAGCTGCAGGGACATCAGGCATTTCATAGGTAAGCAGCCAGTGCAGCTTCACTAAGTGCCAAAGAGCAAAGGGAATGCTTATGAGAGCTTCCAGAGCAGGTCTGAGCTCACATCTAGGTCTGGCAGCACTGCCTTCTGCTGAATATCCCTGTGCAGGTCGCACAGGAGAAGGTAACAAATGTAGATTTTGGTTAAAAACTCTTCCAACAGAAAAAGCACGAAGATGAATTTAAAACAGAGAGGAACAGAAGAGACCATACATGTCTGGGTAGTGCTGGGAAATGCTGCTAGTCAGACTCTAAGCATCAGCTCCATAAACTCTTCTGAGCTTAATTAACTAATTGATTAACTTAGTAACTAACTCTAATATCCTACTAAGCAGTGAGTACCTTCTGTCTCCCTGGTAGCAGTTCAAATCTACAGCCCTGCTCCCCAACTTTATTACTCAGTCTTTATTGGAAGTATTACAATAAAAAATTCATTAAAAGAGAATAAAAATAAAAACAGAAAAGAGAATTGGTAAGAGATATCTTTTGCATGCTTTAGCTGGACATACATCAGCCTTCTATTAAACCTGCAGATTGACCTTGGAGTACTTTGCAAGCAGAAACAGGCTTGACTGGCTCATCACCAAAGCAGGCACAGGCTCTTGCCTGTGCTACAAAATGTGCAAAGCTGTACAGCAAAAACTCTGAAGACAGACTCCTGGCCTTGCAGGCAGGTCAAGCACACCACTGAACTCAAGGCAACTACATAGTGACCCTTCTCAGCAGCTCAGCATTTTGGCAGAGCAAGGTGATTTCTGCCTGCAAACAGTGGAAACTCCTGAGAAGCCACAGTTCTAGGCACTGTAATACCTGCAAGGCCACCACAGCATTCACCTTTGCTGCTCTGAACCATGTTCCTCTAAAGCTTGAGTTCCCAAGCTTTGTTTAAAAATACAGCTACCATCAGGGGTAAGGGAGGTGACATTTACCCACAACCTGTTTTTTTCTTCTCCCCGAAGAAAGCCCAAGTTGCAGAAAACTTCTGCTAAAATAAGAGTGATCATTGAATTGATCATTTACTTGACCTATTTACTTAAATCATATTTTACTACTCAACATATTTACTTAAAACTGTGGTACTAGAATTCCAGTGAACTCACTTGCAGGTTGTATATTTAGCCATCTGTACCGGAGGAGCTTCCCATAGGAATGTCCTAGTCTCAGCTGCTCAGATGATTTGGTGCAAGTCTCCTGTTAGTGAATTAGAAGGATAATTCAGTAGAGCTTTTTCAAGTCACTCCGCTACATATTTCACACAAACAACTTAAACTAAACAAACTCTTTACATTAAAACTTACTAAACTTCTTTCCCAAACATGCACCCTCCAACCAGGCAAAACCTCCTCTCACTTCAGCCTCTTCATATTAACAGCAGTTAACTGCTCAATTAGCCGTTATCACCATCACCTGTTTGCTATTTAGGACAGCCCAGTGGGGATTCCAGACTGTGATCGGCAGCAGCTGCTAAATGAGCTGTTCAACTCCATCTGCAGCGGGACAGAAACTGCTACTTGTTCCAAATTAGGCTACCCTTACTGAAATTACCTATATGGCTAATTTTAGGCGTCAGTGTATCCGCCACTATCTGCCAATATTATGGAGTATTTTTCCTGGTATTTCTGGTCTATGGTGTTCTCTGAAACATATTTTTGTCTAGTTTGAAGTGCTGCATTCAATTTACAAGTACCTACCCTTGACATGCAAAGAAAACCTGGTGTTAAACTTGGATTTGCAAGACCCCCCGACATACCACCATACTTAGAGAACCAGAGAAACATGGAACAGCCATTCCATTAGGGACCATTAACAAAAGGAAAACTTTCTGCTTGCAGCCTGTACGCCCAGGAGAACAGCTCTCTGCTATTCTTTTTAAGCAGCTGAGCAGTTGTGACCTCTAGGTTGCTATTGCCCTGATTTGTAGTCACTATTGTCCTGATTTGTAATCACCATCAGCAAAAGCAGAAAAGCTTTACAGAGTCTGCCAATTAATTCAGCACAAATTTCCAGTAAAGATGGACTAGTGGAAAGCCCTGGCCAAATTCCTTCTGAGTTTATAGGAAATACAGAGGAGGAGATTCAAATGTGATGATCTGAGGCTGTCCTTGTTTTCCTTATAAGAAAGAAATATGGTTTCTTTATAATTTTTACAAGTTGCATCATAGGTCAGCTGTCACAGTTTCTGTCTGGAGAAGCCGTCAAGTAACAATGGCTTATATGTTGCACTTCAAGAAATCTGTGCCAAAAGTCCCTGAAAACCAGGGGCCAAAAATTAGATTTTTATCTGTGTTTATGCACAAAGTTGTACGACCCACATTTTATTAGCTTCCACGGACTTTGGTTTAGAGGCCTGAATCACAACTGTGCAAGGTTTTAATTAGATATTTGGTCACTCTGCCCTTCCTTAAATTCCAGCCGTTTATCAGCGTACTTCTACACAAAGTTGGCAGCTTAGGTCTGGGAGGTAAAGTGAAACATATAAGCCTCCCCAAGCTAGTAACAGATGACTAACCTAGCAAGGTAGCATAAGAAATCATTCCACCAGGAGAGGGGTTGGAGTTGAGCAGGTAACTAACAATCCTGCACGAGGCTGCGTCAGCACTGACTGGTGATGAAGGGATTTTAAAGAGCTGCTGTGATTTTCACATTACACATGACTGTTACAGTATGTCTTGCTGAATAGTAGTATAGTTTTGTCCAAAAATGGTGTATTAATTTTCAGTAATGGACGTGCATGGTCCATATCAGTTTAAGAAAGAGAATGGAACAAAAAGCACATCTGATGCCTATGCAAATATTTTCTTTCAAAATCCAATTAGTCTTTGAAAAACACCTAGTTGACTAAATTCTGGCATCAGGCTAAGAAACAGTCTGAACCTACAACAGAACATGAGATAAGACTGATTTTCATAAATTTTGTGGTTCAGTACATTCAGTTTGTACTGCAGCTTTCTCAGATTTATTGCAATTTCAGCTTAGTTTAATGTACGCAGAGGAACTTCAGTGTGAGTTCTCCAAGTCATGGAAGATGGACAAACAAAATTTTGTACACTTCCTCCTGCTTATCTTTTATATAAATTACTATTATTCCAATCTTCAGTATTTGTAGTATTGATAGTATTTGGTGCAATCCACAAATACTGCCCCTATTCCTTATGTTTCCTTTTCACTAACAAAAGGAAGGAAAAATATTTCTACCGAGAAAAAAGACATCTATTTGCAAGAGTTCTCTAATCTCTACAGCCCCCTCTTTTACATGTACAGTTCAGCACTATGTAGCAAAACCTGTCTGGACTTTTTTCACAGACTTTTACAGGACTGCGTTAATTCCGTGTTTTTGCCACAAGTTTGCTAGTAAAGCTAGTCATAAGTTAACATGTAGGCTAGAGGAAGTCGCTCAGACCCTGACTGTGTCTTTCTATGGAATACTTTCAGCCTCATTCCCATGAACTGAGGATTAAATAAATACCTTGGTGAATAATGTAAAATTCTATTTTATGCAATGTGAGCCTTATCAGATAAGCTTACCTGGAAATAATTTCAAATATTTACACCATGATTAGTAAGGTAAAGCCAGGAAATCACAAACAGGAAAAAATTGTTATACTTTATGGGTTAAACAAGTCCTCTGACTCATTCTCTGAAAGTTGAAAGATTAGGCACATTGCTTTTGTGGCTACAGGAATAATGGAACTGCAATTAGATGACAAGCAGAGGGCTGTAATAAGATGGATTCTCCAGAATAAGTTCCTTAGAGTCACGAACAATATCTGTGAACAGCTTACATTTAGTGGCTCAGTATCTCTGTCAGTGATTACTAGTGTATGTCAGTGATTACTAGTGAGTAATCACTGTGTTCAATCCACAAGCATTAAGAAGATACTCATATATATGGGCAGACAAGAGAATCTCCCTGAAGGTACTGCA